TTGGCCATACATTTTATTACAAATATTTTTTTATTAATTACTGAAAGATAAACATAAATCTTTGTTCCCGAAAATGCATATCCACTCATCTACACATACACGCAGCTACACAGGTTATATTGGTAACTGACAAATGCTGCTATTCTGCATTATAATTTGATAAATCCGTGTACGCCGCAGATATGCTTGCACAATTTTTATTTGTATATTTGACATGGCATAGCATGCAGTTCCGTTTCCTGTTATGTTTTGCTACCGTAATTTCACCATTAGGCTCCAAACCGCCTTCCGTTTTAATTGCATTACAATGGCGCCAGTACGATTTTGTAAATTGTAATCACCAAATGTACAGATATTCAAAAATTAAATACATCAAAAAAACCCACACGCGGGCAAAAACAGTTCGCAAAAAACTTTGGGTCTTGATATATTTTTCTCACAAAATTCAATAGCAACAACAAAAAGTATTGCAAAAAAATATGAATGACAAAAATGTCAACCAAAAGGGATATACGAATGTGTACCCGTATATGTATGTAGAACTGCATGGGCACAAATCTAGTGATAGGTAATATTTTCAGAAACTAGATGTGGAGTTGCACTACTAAATATACATATAAGGTTTATGCACTTTATTGAAGATGTGTTTTTTAGTTTTAAGGAGGGAAGTGTCTAATAGTGGAGTTGCAAGAACTAACTACCTACGGGTGTCATAAGTATTACTTTTGTAAGGTGAATTGAGAATCAGATTTGTAGCATGAAGAATACGTTCTATAGGCACTATCGATGTTTAGAATAAGCTTAAAATGTCCTCTAAATTTTATTTTTATGCAATAACTTGTGGAAAAGTAGAAACTGAGTGCTTATAACCTATAACAGCTTTTCGAACGATTACGTATAGATTATTTATTTCTCTTCTAAAACAAAGTATTATTTACAATTACAAAAGTGAAATGTATATTACGTTATATTAGAATATTTATTGTTGTATTTGTTACAAGTTTTTATCTAGTATCATCATATCGATCTAACGTCGCTGTAAATTTAGTTTCGCATACTTTTCTCTCCAAAGTCATTTCATTCTTCTTAATTAAATTACACAATTTATTTAGTAATTAATACAGAGACCCCAAACTGATACATTCGTTTGTAGTATTACGGTAATAGATACTCTGTGTATTACAAAAAGTATAAATATGTAGGCGTACTATTGGTAATACTATATGATTTCTGGATATAATCGTTCAAATGATATCTGTCTATATTTTCTGTTAAGTCGTTTTCCGGTTACAGTGGTGCAAAAAACAAAGTCGAAGTCATATGTAGATTAAGTATTACTTTTTTTAGTTTAAAGGTTTGCTATTGAAGTCCAGCATTAGTTTGGTGAGCGTTATGGAGACTCTGCATTAGATTGACCAACTATTATTACCTCATATGCACGCTCTATTAGTCCAAAATCGAGAGCAGTGTTGAAAAAGATAAAAAGAGGTCATGAAGAGAAGTTATTTGTGATAGCAGATGTCTTAAAGATATTAGAATGTTATGTGTTAAGAATTTAACATATGAGTCCAAGTGTACTATTAAATTATTAAAGGACATCGAGTGAGCATTTTGAAAGTACTGATTTTATTTAGAAAATTATTCTCTATTTATACAAAATTATCTTAAAACTAATTTTACTATCAAGGTTGATATAATCTGTTGTATGTTATGTTTATTTTAGTGGAGTGTTTCATTTTTAGTTACATTTCATTGTTGTCGTTAAAAAGGTTCAAAAACGGATACAAGAAGGAAGGCCCGGTACTTAGGATTTTTCTTTCTATTGTCTTTCCCAATATATATCTATTATCATAATTAGATACGGTGCTTTGTGTATCATAAAATATTTAAAAATGTTACAATGTTTGCTATTTTAGTTTAGGGTATTTTTAACCTGTGTTATATTTTAGTCCATAATTCTTAGAATTAAAATGATAACAGACTTATAATAATAAACTATAAAATACGTGTTCATGTTTGAACACCAAGTATAACAATGCATCGAGGATTTATTAACTGAATAAATGATGCTACGGATATATCCACTACACTACACTCTATATATCCCTAACCACTGTATTCTGTATATTTGGCTACTATTCTCTAGTCAGCGAGTACTGGCTTCAGGAGACATTAAAAGCATACTTAAGTGAGAGTAAAGACAAGATGCTTAAAAAATAAAGCCACTAAAAAAAGAATGCTGCTTTGGAATGTTAATAAGACAAACCTGTTATTGTGATTCATTAACTAATAATAATGAGAAATTTAACATCGTTGAAATGTCCTTCATGAAATACCTTATAGTGCAGCAGCCCTGTAGTGACTTAGTCGCTAATTCAGTTCAACAAAGTAAGAAATAACACGATCGAAAAATTTCTTGAACAAAACTAAAACAAGACATATTGTGTGGCTTGTGGTGCTGTCCTTTCATGCGACTGTATCTATCTGAATTATCTATCCCGTAAAACACGTATCACGCCTATACACCAAATTCGATATTATATAGTTACTACTTGTGAGTGACTATTAGTTAGTGTCTAAAATTTTTAATCTCAAATTGAAAGTATGACGCCATGGATGACAATTCTGTGAATTCTATACCATTGAACTATTGCTGCCAAGGCCCACAAAATTGTAAAGCTAGAAATAAATCTCAAAATATTAGAATATTGATTTAAATGTTAATATGAAGTTTTATATTTTTGCGCATCTAATATTTATTTTTAAATCGGTCACATATTATTGTTATTCTTATTCTACAAAATATGTATTAAAAAGGCTGGGCATTGACGCACTCATCTATATGCAAAAGAAATTGTATTAAAAATTTATGAGGAATAAATTATTTTGTCAAATTATTTTGTTATTTATTCACTATTTTCTTGATTAGGAATATATATATATATATATATATATGAATATTTGTTGTGATTTATGGCATCTTACACTCAGCTTACATTGCAAATGTTAGCGATGCTTTATATGTTCTTTACCTTTATACAAATATAGAGGAAAAATGCACTCACCCAAGATATAGCTATCATTCAATCATCTGATTATCACAAGTCGTGTCTTAAAATTTATTAAAAATAGACACAATTAAACAAAAGGCGAATTTATGGAAATTAAATCCATAATGCTCTCATCTAATCCCGTCTAATCATTTACAACTTGACAATTTGAAAATTCTCTTCTATACCGATTTTAACTTACTAAGGTTAGAAGCTTTTATTTGTGATGTGTGGGTAATTATTGGATTTGATAGATTCAATTGATATACAAATAATAGAAAATATATGTATGTATGTCTGTGCTTCCTATAGTATTCTACATTTTCCCCTTCCTATTTGGGAATATGAGTACAACACTAGATCCATTATTCATTATTTGATTTAATTCAAATTTTTGCTACTTAGGTTAATGTTTCAATGCCCAAGGGAGTGTTGAGTGAACTCGATTTTTGTTGAAAATTCTTTGTTATGGCTATTCTCTAGTTGTTTAGTTAAGCCTGGCTGTATTGCGATGAGTTAATATTTAATTGTGCTAATACCATATTTTTATGACACGTTAAAACCGTCTTCAGGTCACTAGTATTTTTTATTCAAGAAATTATTCTGTGACAGGATTTGGTATCCTATATTATGCTATTACTATTCTTAAAAGTTCTATAATAATGTTACCAGCATTACATGATTATCCATATGACATTTAAAAGTGCCCGCTATATGTGTAATACGATTTAAAATCAACCTATGTTTTGAATTTACTTGACTTGAACTCAATTTCGTAACCGGTAACTAACACATTACGTATGCGAAAAAGTGTAAAGAGTGTTTTCTAATTTTATAAAGTTGCTTAGTAATCCTATTCGGAGCCATATGTAGGTCTGGTCATTCATTGCAGGTATACACTCAAACAAAAATTACTTTTAAAATAATGGTCCTGTAAAATAAACTCCATTAACACACAGTCATCCATTAATAATAAGCATAATCTTTTGTTTTAATTTTAGTCTTTCTGGTACTCATACTCATAGAGATACTACGCAGATTTATGTGCGTACATCGAACAGTTCATCAAATGTATCACCTTGGCATCATTTTTCGTTACCTCACGTTGTTGTGCTGCCATCACCGGCACTTTTCCAATCTGTCCTGGGTCCATTGTATAAATTTCCTTATATGTACTAGAGATATCGCTTCTTGGTTATTTCGCTAGCGTATATTTATTTGTTATACTTAGAATCGTTCACAATAACCAAACTCTTTAAGAGATATAGTATTAAGAATTAAGTACGTGTTGGTAATAGCATTAGCACGAGTTTTTACAAAACAGTCTTTTTAGTCAGTTAGTTTAGTATGAAGCAAATTAAAATGGTATTAAAAATAAATTTTTGCAAGAATGACATAGATCCAGGCTAATATCATAGGACCTGCATTTCGCTAGTTATCATCCACTGAATTATTTATTTACTTATTTAAGTACATTAAGAAAATATTTGGCATATTAGTTATACAGTGTAAAAAGTAGTGTATATCGTTTATCACAATTCCAGATAACGTTTTTATCTTTCACAAATCCGTAGGTATACTATATTTTAACTGCAGATTACTGAGCATCGAATTTTATAGCTGCGCCAACAGCTATCTGTGATGGAAGGCAATTTTTAATAATTTCAGGAAATGAGCAACTCTGAAAACAAAATTTAAGATAACAATAGTATCAGCTAGTATATTGCAGCAAATATCAAAATAAAATTTGAGGTAATAATTGTACGACCATATTACGTTATAGGCGTTTCGATAATTCAAATAAATCGAAAAAATTTCAAATTTTAAAATATTAAATTCCTGGGTTCCATTGAAGGTTGGAGTTTCAGATTGCGTTTCGTTCTTTTCACCTGCGGTGCACGTATGTCAGAAATCGTATTAAAATATTAATGGCTAGTAATTATCTCTTTAAATAACTTTATTTTTAATGGACATTAATACAATTACCATGATTATAAACTAAATTAAAAAAACTTTTACAAAAAACAGAAGAGAGGGCATAAACTTCTCGCAGAACCTGCCATTATACTAACCTTTAATCATGTTTACCAGAACCCTGAAAATATTGGTAAAATTATTTATTAACTTTAGAGTTTTAGCAGATGTTTAGCAGAACAGATAAACTTTTTTTAAAATATAGATTAATAGTATTGCATAATGTGCTTCGTTTCCATTTTATTGCGAACCTCGAAATCTCGTAAAATACTTTTAATATTGCTCGCTAAATCATAGGTTTTAATCACCTACAAAATTCATTTTTATTAATTATCAGTATCTTAATATGTGCATGAATTTCGAAATTGTAAACGAACACATTACTCACCATTCCTAAGATATCTGAAATTAGAAAACTGCCATAATTTGCCATCTCAAGACTATCTTCAATATTCAGATTTATAATATGAACAGGACGACTCTGAGTTACCTCATGCGCTGCAATGAATTCTACTACCAGATCATATATGTACTCTTGTACGGTGATGATAATGTCGAATTGTTCGTTACAATCCTGAAACCGTTCTGGGCGCCTCTTAATCGCACGGTTTCGGTCGACAATCTCCAGCAAACCTGTTTCTTCATAGCTTTTTTGTGATGATAATTTTAATTTTCATTCCGAAAAGTAATATTAATTAGCAGTTCTTTACTTACAATTTTTTGTCCTTTCTAACTAAATCTTGATATATGGCGTCAAAAGTGGTGCCAAATTCGTACACATTTGGTTTGTCCGGTGTCTTCCCAGCAATTTGCACAGTGTCGCCTACTCCATAGCTCTTAACGTTATAGCCTTTAGCTGTTAAGAAGCATTGTGCATTCATTGAACGATTCATATTGGAATAGCAAACTATTGCGATAGTGAGAGATTTTTTGTCCAACATCCTTTCTGTTCACTACTTTTGTTCGAATTAAAGGCAAACTACAAAAAGCTTTAATAATTTTGTGAGGATAGCAAAAAATAGTCAAAGATACGTGTTCTGAAACTGTAAATATATGGATTCGACTCGCGTATGAAACTGCTTTGTTAAATTTTTTAGTAGACCTTATTTATGACTGTAGAAGTAACAGGTTTGACGATATGTTCTGGCATAAGTATAAATTTTCAACTAAGTCATCTAAAGCCAATGAAAAATTTTGATTTCTACTATTGTTTCATATAATCATTTCCTTATAAAAAAAAATAATTCCATAACTGTTTGAAAAAAACTAAAAATTCATATGTTACTTGTTTAGTAACGTAACTAACAGTAATTGATTAATGGAGTATATTTTTTTCTTCTTTCAACTCAACATAAATCTACAATATTAGAGTTTCTTCTTAGTACACAATTTAGTGATGCCTTCGATGGTCATTTAAGAGCTCCGTTTCTCGAATGACCTCTTCATACCACTTCTTCAATTCCAGCTCAATAAAACTATAGTGACCTTATTTGAATGCTCAAAAAATTTCTTTTAGTTTTTGAATACACTTATGAGGGTCACTATTTACTAATTGTTGTCAGGTGTCATCTTACGTTTCCATGCGAGAGTTTGACATTATTAAACATAACCTACTTTCGACTTTTGGTCAAAACAGAGTAATTTGTGTTATTTAGAGTGATTTGTAAATTGAGTGTTCCCGAAAAAATGGATTTAACGCGAGGAAATTTTCATGTAATAATTTATTACGTTATCACGACTTTCGACATAGATTACGAGTATCAAGACAAGAGTGTATGATTACCTTACTTCTACATTTAGCGATGAAGCTCCATCCTTTGTCATTCTACAATGATGTGAAATGTGGCCACAGTTCGCTCACTGATCTCACTAAAATTCATGAATGTCGTCTAAAATCAATTGTTGTGCTGGAAAACATTGATGTTGTGCAAAAACTGATACGAGTAATGAAAGATCGTCATGCGACAAACTCAGAGATTAAGGTTGAGGTAGAACCTTAAGCATCAGTTCCACCAACATATATAAAATATTGCGCAATCATTTAGACGTGAAAATGATTAGTTTATACTCGTTTAATCCGCTATCATTTGACAAAATCTCAAAAGATGCTCGTGTCGATTAGTGCACCGTACGCACAAATGCTCAAGAATTACAATGCGGTGCTTCAAAAGACCTATACGAGTATAAGATTGTTACCGGTGAGGAAACATGGATACGAGTATGTACGTATAAGTCGGAACGTAAACAGCTGTCGCTGTATGGCTGCATGGCTGTTTCCAGATGAACCACTCGGGAAAACTGATCATGTGGCAACAATACAAACTATACCATTATAGAAACGTAAAACGGTCAATTTCGAGTGGTATACAATCATTCGCTTACCAAAACTCTTTAGTGAAATACAGAAAACAAACAAACGCCTTCGGATCACTTTCCACATGTGCGAAGACAATGCGAGTACTCATACATCTCGTCTCACAATCTACTATTTGAGCATTCAAAAAAGTAAATTGATGAATCATACGACGCACATTGTGCGTACTGATTTGGCACCCAATGACTTCGTCTTGTTTCCGAACGACAAGTATAAATTGTGTGTTCAAGTTTTGAGTACATTTTGAGTACATATAACACGCATATCAACAGGTATATACTTCACAGATAGGTTCAGACCTCTCAAACAGGCAAAAGATTTGCTAATTACTGAGTTGATATGTTCAAATTTCATTTGTTAAAAGTATTTCTAGATATTCATGATAGTTGTAATATCAATGGAATAAAAAAAAAAAGTGTGTTACCAAGTTTTGTGTTACCACGCCACCAAACAAATATCTTCGAGGAGACCTTTAGCATTGTCGACGTGCAACTTTGACTTTTTTTAAACCCGGACTTGAGCGGAGAGAGTAGTTGAAAGCAGTTAAGAGGAACACGTATTTGATCAGCCATTATGTTCTCACACACTTCAGAGAATGAGTGTATATTTGCCATTTGCCATAATAACTGAGCATTAACTGATTTTAAGTCCAAAAAAAAAATTGTGAGGTATTGACATTTCTGGTTACGCAGTAATCTAAGGTAATGAACAACAGATTATGATTGGAAACAAAGGAAATCTGATAAAAAAACAACACTTTGGTCTGATCGAGGTGATTTGGAAGAAAACTATTACTATATCTAGTGGGCACGGTAATGTTCACAATACTTAACCTAGCTATGGCTATTAGTTCATTCACTTTAGCATTATTTAATATATATATACATACATAGAATATCAGTATAGAAATCGTCAAATATGACAATAAAATAAAAATTGAGAGCAATTGGAAGAAGAGTTTCAAAAAGAAGAATACTACTGCATTTTTTTGACTACCGATATAAATGAATACATATATGAATTGAATTTCACTTTCCTCATATACACAGATTAAATGACTTTTTAAATGTGATTTACATCAAATAGTGGTGGCGTACCATCCAATTTAAATTTTCAATCATACCAAAATAAGAAAAAGTCATATATAAGGAGGTATGAAATATCAAGATGGCAGTTAAACTAAGTCTCAGAAATGCAAATAACATTCACTTTAAAGTTTTCGAAAAATACTCTAACATGATCTGATTTCAAGACAAAAAGATTTCCCGCATTAAAATAAACTATATTAATACCACGTTGACAAAAAATATTAATTAATGCTTTGCCCTCCATGGTTGGTAATTAGTATTTTTCGCTTCAAGTTTAACTCTCCGCTGCAAAGTATTGCACATAATATCCCTGCAGTCATGGTCTGCACTCAGTTCACGAAGGCTAAGAATAATTTTTGTCTTAACACAACTAATACATTTAGTGAAATCATTTATGCAATCCTTATGGGTGTGTGAGCCCTGTCTCACTACATTTAATACCATACATATGGTAGATTGTCAATTTCGTTGCATATACTTGCTTTGTGGTTGAAGCCCCAGCATTTCTAACAACTCATAACTTTGAAATGTTCATAAGCGATGCACCTATCCCACCTGATATTGATTCTACGATCTTTCATTACTTATTTGAAAGCTTTATCGTCTAATTCAATTATGGCGTTCTGTCTTCTTTTTTTGTGAGATTCCTTTACTTTTAAAATTTTTAGATGTTGGAATGAGTTACCATTTTTATTTTTTATTACGAGAACCAAACTATCGCGATCTTATTGTTCACACATTCCTTAGATTAACACCTTAGGGTTACCCAGTGAAGGAGTCTCAATGATGTATTGATCACTTAGTTCTTTCTCAATATCATTAGTAAGGATTTCACGTTCTTTAGAGTTAATCCACTTAATAGTTACTTTGCTTTCATGCCTAGTCGGAAGCCCGTTAATTTTAACTTTGGGCTGAGATAGATTAATTTTATTTTTCAAGTCCTTTTTAGTCTCTTCATTCTGTAGTTTATTTATGGCTTTCACAATAATAGGTTTATTTGCATTAAAACCCATTTTTAGTTTAGCTCTAAAAGTGTCTTTATTATTTTCATTTATTATAATATTATAGGTCACTTTTTGTTAAATAATTTAACGTTTGTTTGACATTTTTTAATACATTCTATATTTGGCCTCTCCTTGGGAGTCATAATCAAGATCACATTCTTACATACATTAATATTACTAAAACTATATCTACATCATCCTCTTTTTTCTAGAGTCTATATTGCACAGTGCAATATAGACGTAGAAAAACAAACGTTGAATTATGTAACAAGAACCGACCTATAGCCGGATAAGAAACTATATAAAAATTTTCATTTATTTTCATATTTTTAAACGGATTTATTGAAAGCTCTTCATTTTGTATTTTAATCATATCAGATAAATATGTAATTTTTTCTTCAAGCACATTGAATTTGTTTTCATAAGATTTTTGAACCTCAACAAGTGATGTAATCCTAAAGGCCTCAATATCTTTCAATGGGAACATAATTTCATTTTCGTTAATGTGAACGCCTTTTTCAATTTATTTTTATATTCATTAAGGCAATTATTGTTTTTAGTTACACTACCATTAATATCCCTAAGAGAAAACTCAACATTGTGACGCCTTAAGACCGATCGACCCAAATGTATATCGGTCTTCGATGATATTTTCGAACAAATTAGCCAAATGTCTCCAAAGACAAATTAAAAATGTGGAAGGAATAGAAAATTTAAAATCGTAAATTGCTTATCCACTTCATACAAAATTGGCTCGGATAATGATAAAGGCATAGTGTTCACAGCTATAGGTTGCTGTGAACACTATGGTGAGAGATTTCCTAATGAGGACCTCTGGGTCACCATTCGCTTTACCATTGGGATGCATTGTGTGATTTAAACAGTATAGGATAAGTAAAATGGGTTTCTGACACCAGCATTATATCGACCTGGTTTATTTTTTAGAATGCTTTTATTTCAACAGCATGTTTTGATAGACCATTTGCATTCCATATGACTATGACTAAATCAAGAATTTTGTTAAGACGTGATCAGTACATTCGTCATTACTACAATTTGTTGCACCGTTTGCTTCAATAGCATTGTTATCACACGAAATTCTTCTAAAAAATTATTTGAGATTATTTGACAAGCTACTCCTGTGTTAGGCTACAGGTGTCTGACTTCACTGTTTCAGTGAATGTTTGAGATGAATGAGAATTCGTGATAAGAGTTTTGGTTTGAGAAGGAAGAGAAATGTTCAAAATGGCAAATATCTTTCGTACACCCACAACAAAATTCAGTTAAGTGCGATTCTTAGCCTCCCTAGTATGTTTTACGTATTTCGGGTAGTTTAGGTGTTAGGTTTTAATTTAATAAGATAAAGAAATGATTATTAATCACACTTGAGTATTGCAAATTCTTGTTTTATGTGAAATATAAAATCAAATTAAACGATAGAAATTAGAGTAAGACTCAACATATAAATGGGGTATTAAGTTTGTCTATGATTCCTTTTCTTCCGTTAGGTGGATACCATTAAAAAACACATTGTTAAAATCTTACCTACTGAAACCAACTCTTAGGAATTTCAAAAAAGATCTTAGTCACGTAAGTATGAAGTTCATACTACTTAGAACTTCATTCAGTTGGCAACGACGAAGGTGGAATTATTAGGATTAACATATAAAACTCTAAATTCAACTCAGCGAGTTTATGAGGGCGTTGGTCTAGACAGAAATTTGACTGGTGAAGCTCACTAAGAAAATTTCAGGGAAGAAGATTGGTATAGATGTTGTGCCTAGCTTCATGAAGGCGACTGGGATATTGGGAAGGCCTATGTTTTACAGCATCGATCATAATAAGTGTAAAAGTTTGAAAGTACGACGAGTGTAGAAACTAGTAGTGTTACGCGTGATAATACACTGTCTTACGATTTAATCCATTTTCAATCCTTAAATCAAGTAATCTTAGTTTTGACCTAAATCAAAGGATTGGATAACTGTTCTCCAAAACAAATCAGGAGAGAGCTTACTAAGACTTCATGTGGAAATATTATTCATTTTCATAAACCAAAAAAAAAAGCGTTTTTTGTCTTTAGGGAACGAAATTTTTATTATTCTGCTGAATTGAATTTATATTGCAACTGTAAATTTTGTGAACTGTAAGTAAATAAGAAAGAAATTGACATATTTATCATTAAAGTTGTAATGAAGAAGGTGTTATCGTACCGTTTCACTGCTTTGTGCCATAAAAATGTTTCACTTTAGTTCGCATCTAGCATTTCCAAATTTCTCAATGTTTAGAAATCATATACACTTTGAAGAAAGTACTGGGAAGTGTTCAAGAACTCATCTAAACCCCAAGCGAGATTATGGATAAAATTAGTAACTTTCTCGGTACATGCATTCACAAAAGAGAGTTTGATATTAGTGTAGGGCAAAGGTATTTTTGTGCGCAAACAGTTCCTGCAAAAGCTGTAAAAGTGATCGTGGTTATCTACCCAGATATTATGTACCGGTGCAACATAAGTTTTTCTCTTCGCAACTCTAGGGTGTTTTCTGCGGATTTGTGATTTTATGTAGTTTTCAGCACCAAGTGTTTTAAGTTTGCAGCAGTCGTCGACTATAATATGTATCTTGGGTCGCCCTATAAAACATCTTGAAGAGCTCATTTTTGCTGGTAAAGAGTGAAAACAGTCGATTTTGATCCCAAAAGTGGTGTGTACAAAGTTTGTTCAGTTTTTGTTTACTAATTTTTACAATAAAATAAAAATAAAAAAATTAAATTAGTTTTTGAAGTATTTTTTAATTGCTTGAGTTTGACAACTAACTGATGACAAGAAATATGAAGAATGAAGTGGAAAACGGGTATATATTTTTTAGAGGGAAGCATATGTACGTAAAATATTGCCTGCAATATTAGATAAAGAATACTAGATTTGTTGTCTTCTTTATTAATGACCGTGTTTAGATAAGCCGCGCTTCAGCCTCCCTAATTCTCGTTACCACGCCATCTCCATCCACACCATTTCTTCAAATATACTATTGAAAATAGGAATTGAATATATAATTCGCCAGATTTTTGCAGGGCAGGAACGTGACACTGTCTTAATTCTACTTAGTATTGTTTTTCGAGAAACAAGTTACAGAAGATACATCGTGATGCGAATGAAAATATTGATAATTGGCACTGTGTACCAATTTGTGGCTTCAAAATAAACGTAAAAAAAGTACTTTCCAAACAATTTTTATTTCAGAAATTATTTGGAGTTTTCTATTATCTTCTATGAGATTACTTACGATTTAATTTGAAATTTTGTTTGAAAGCATCAAAAGTTAAGAATTGTTCCAATAAACGTGATCGCATAACCCCACAAAAAAGTGTTGCGGTGACATCTCGTTTAATATTAGTGGGCAGTTCATGTTATCATAATGTGAAATTAAAAGTCTGACTTGCGTTATATCGAAACCATATCTATTCTACATCTATGTCTGCATTTATGTTTTTGTGGTAGGTTTTCACAATTTTAACACAATCAGTTATTCAGCGATCCATATTGAAAAATGACAAACTTTATACCTTGAATGAGATTTCAAGCTATAAACAGAAATGAATAACTCTTTATTAAGTAATTAATAGATATCTGTGGTTTTGGATTTAGCACAGAAATAAGAGTTTATGATCTTGGCAATGGTTTTTCTTAAAAAAACATCAATTGTAAGCATAACAAATTTACCTTCAAGGCGGTTTACTTCTTTGAATCTACAGAGCAGACGGCAAATCATTATGTTATTAAGACGACAGTTATAAAAATATAAAGACGGCAGTGTTCCTTGATATCTCGCAGGCATTTGACAAAGTGTGGCATCAAGGTCTTATGTGCAAATTAGGAATGCAATTGCCAGAACAATATTGCGATCTTATAGAATCTTGTATAACAAATAGATATTTTCAAGTTACACAAGAAGACTGTTACTCAAACCTAAAAGAAATTAAGGCGGGGTCCCACAGGGAAGCCTCCTTGATCCTATACTCTTTCTATTATTTACTAATGATATCCCAATAACAGAAAATTGTAGGATTGCAACTTCTGCTGATGATATAGCTTTTCTTTCAATTGGTTCTAATGAAATTGAATCTACTAAAACCCGAATTAAAGGGTCTTCCACTGCAAATTAAATATAAATAAACTGGAAATACTCTATGCGAATACAGCGAAATATTTAGGCAGGACATTATACGCTAAACTACGTTGGAAAGAGCATGTGAAAAAGAAAAAAACAAGAACTTGAGCTAAAGCATAAGTAGATAAATTGGTTAATCGGTAGGCGTTCAGTGTAATCGATACAAAATAAACTCCTGATTTACAATCAAATTTTAGAGCCTCTATGCACTTACAGTATACAGTTATGGGGATGCATCAGTAAGAGCAATGTCATGACAATTCAACTTTTCCAAAACAAAGTACTCAGAAATATTGTAAATGCGCCCTGGTACATTCGTAGTGTAGACCTACATCGTGACCTAGGAATCAAAGCCGTCGAGAACGTCATAAAAACGTATGTGGTTACTCACGCAATGGAAATTACACTACATAAAAATGCAGAAGTTTTAGAAGTAGTCAACACAACTGACTCAGCGCGGAGATTAAAACGTGTAATACCCTCTGACCTCACTAAGGAATAAAACCTTAGCGTAAATATTTATAATTAATCATACTGAAAATGCTTGTTAGTGCTGAGTATATATACTAGTTGCATTAATAAAAAGAAAGAAAAAAGAGATTATGTTATTATATGATTAAGTAAGTAATGCAATTTGATAGGAGTCGATTTCAGATACTGTTCCGATGTAATATTTTTAATGTTGTAGTGATGTTGTGGTGGACGAATGTTCAGAAAAGTAGGATCTGTTGTTTTGCATTGACAACGGTTGTATATCATGTACATCTGTGAACAGTCTAAAGATGATATGGAGATTTAATAGTAATATAAAAATAATAAAGATATTGAGCGCGACGGGAATTACATGATGACAAGAACAAATGAGTTAGGTTAGGACGCTAGTTAGGACGGTTATTGTTACGGAGCTGAACATATAAACAAACAAATATAGAGATCATTATCCTTTTATCATTCCTCATAATTTTTATTAGTAGTGGCTAATAATTCCAAAATTACGTTTAATCTATTATCCATTCGTAAAGAAATATAACATGTGCCTTAACACCGTTTCCTCACTTAATGTCAATCCTTCTTATTCTTTTGAGCTCTGCAGAGATAGTTTCCTAAATGTTGAAGAACATTTCAATCTGTTAGGGGCCTGATAGGGCTTTTGCCTTTTTATTCCTGCTTCTACTATTGCATCCGCATGGGTATGTTCAGTAACGTGTTAGCCTTTATTTGAACATACTGCTTGTGGAGTGGTGACAAAAATTATATATTATCGCAAATATTCTATATATTAAAATCATAAAATGCTGCTTGTTATTGTTATTATTGCTATTGTTGTTATTGTTGTTATTGTTGCTATTGATGTTGGTGTTGTTTTTGCTGTGACAAGTAATTTGTATTTATTTATTTGTTCATCGTTGTCTTTTTTCTCTAAATATTAATGCGGAATAATTTATTTTTGTTTATACACTAAAATTTATTTATAATTTTTTTATTGTGTGTGTGTTGTTTCCTTTGCTGATTTATGGGATTTGGTGTATTTTGACAGTTGTTTGTGTTATTATAATTATTGGTATTGTTGCTGTTGCTGTTGTTGTTTTTGTTGTTGTTGTTGTTGCTATTGCTGCCGCTTTATTTAATATTGTATTATTTTATTGCATAATCGCCTTTTCTATTTTAATTTAAATTTTATTTTAGCTATTTTATTATAATTACAATTGATATAAATTTTTTCGTTTATTCTGTTTGCTAATGTTGTTATTACTATTACTATTATTATTTTTTATTGTAAGTGTTATTGAAAGGGTTCCATAGCTAATGCACTTGAGTAACCTTAATTTCATATAAAATTAATTTTTGTGATTACAGGACTTTATATCAAATATATGAGGTTATCAATGTACTAAGAACGATGTCATTATAGTATAAATATAGTTTTAGATATAGTAAAGCAGTGTACAATAATATACCAATATTGCAGATGAATAATTTTAAAAGATGTAAGATTAAAAATAAAATGTTTTAATTAAGTGGTTCCTTCTTTCAAACCACCTTGTTTTTGTTGAGTCCTGCAGATTTGTTTGGTACAATTTATTAAGCTAATTGATCGTGTTAGATCCACAAAGAAATTCACTGAAACCAAATTGCTGTTCCGTAATCACGCTTGTCGCAGTTATGGAGAGGACGATGAAAGTGCCTTTGTGGCAGTGCTTTGTTACTGCCAAGTGCAGTAGCTTTCTTTTTTGAGAATCTTAGCCAACGCTAGGACACCGTTCAAGCTTTGCCGCCGGAGGTGCAAAATGATTTTTAAACCTCTGAGCTTCTTGGGGCAATAGGTCTAATTGAATTTTTACAAATTGTTTTTTTTATCTTAAACGAATTCATTTCGAATAATTAAATGCTTGAACCTAAAAGCAAGTATCACTATTGCTATTGAAAATTGAAACATAAGAATCAAAAACAAACAAAGAAAACAGTCCCTGTTTTTGTTTTATTTGAATTGATAAAACCATTTTTGAAGATCAGTGTAAGGTATCGCATTCTTGACTAAGATGAACCTTAATTATTCCGTAAACCTACCATAAAACCGCACACCCGTTTATTGGTACGCTTCTGACTGCCGTGGCTCTGCCGTTGCTCTACCGTTGCTCTACCGTTGCTCTGCTGTTATTGTCGTTGTTTTAACTGTTGTTGATTTTTGGGTTTTTTAGCCAAAATTAATTATTGCATTTTCTTCCTTTTTTCGTTTGAATTTTATTTGTTAGAATTTTTGTATTGCTTTAATGCCTTTTCAAAATATTTATAATATTTTAATGCAAATTTTAACTAATATTAATCTATAAATAAGCACAAACACACACTCAAATGCTGCTTTGCACCTGTGCATGTATGTGTAGACGTTCCTCGTGGACAATTCCGCACACGCGTTCGTTGGGTGTGTTCAGTGGATTGTGCACTTTGGTATCTGTTTGTGATATTTTAATTTTACTGTCACATTCGATCATTAAATTGGCATTTTGTGCCATTGTTCCACCGTGGGGTGAGGCAGTCAAAAGCGTTCGCAAAATAAATACTGGCTTGTGCGTTGTATTTACCTTTGTAAGCTCAGCGCAAGTGGCACTCGTTCCCCCCTCGACAACGGCGTGTAATCAATTTTTTCCATATTTGCATATTTATTTGTTGTACCTTTTTTAGTGTTTTTAAGCCATATCTATGTTTTTTTCGCTTTTAACTTATACAAACAAATTTTATTTGTATTGTTTTTATTTTGTTTAGACAAATTTATAATTACAAAAATTAATAGAATAATTAATTATAACAAAATTCCGTTATGTCAGCTGCGTTTTGCAAATAATTACATCCGCCTCCTAGTTTTTTGTACTTTCAATATTCCGAATCCATATCAAATCTATAATAATGATTTCAGTGATACCAGTAGAGTACACTGTGCACGTACAAATAAAATGAACATGACTTTTTTTCAAATGAATATAAAATTTATTATTTCGTGTTTTAAATTAAAAAAGGAATAGTATTGTGCTCTGATATAGAATTCACAGAAAAAAAATCTGCATACATAAGTT